GCCAGACCAATCCCACCTAAATCAACCCAGCCAGAGCTTTGGCAAGTCTAGACTGCCGCTTTCCTCCGGCAAACCCCCAAGCCGGAAAAAAGCAGCAGCCATGTAAATGCAAATGCCGTGGGTGATATTTAAATCCCCCGTGGAATTTGCAATTCCAAAGTGTCTCATTAGCATCCCTTTTCCGGAAAGGGGTGCCAATGTAGACAGCCATAGTGATTATGAAATGCTAAGGGAGATTAGAGAGGCTATCAAATTGAAAACCTCGATAATAATGGGGGATTTCAACTATCCCCATACTGATTGGGTACATGTCACCTCAGGACAAGATGCAGAGATAAAATTTCTTGGTTCCTTAAAAGACTGCTTCTTGGAGCAGCTGGCTCTGGAACCCACAAGGGGAGAGGCTGTTCTTGATTTATTCCTAAGTGGAGAACAGAATCTGGTTCAAGAGGTAAATATAACTGGACTGCTTGGAAATAATGACCATAATATAATAAAATTTAATGTCCCTGTGGTGAGAAAAGCACCTCAGCAGCCCAACACTAGCATTTAATTTCAGAAAAGGGAATTACATAAAAATGAGGAAATTAGTTAAACAGAAATTAAAAGGTAAAGTGACAAAAGTAAAATCTCTGCAAGCTACATGGAAACTTTTCAAAGATTCCATAATAGAGGCCTGTGACAGGGCGATTTCACCCTGCACTGAGAACCACCCTGAACTCCAAGTTGAAGAGCCCGGAGGAGTGCTGAGCGGGGGCGGAGGCACGTGGGAAAACCCCAGGCAGAGAACGGCCGAGGGGAGTGCAGGCAGCAGAGCAGGGAACGCGGTCTGCCCGTTGCCACGGGCACACGTGGATGACGTCACCCATGACTTCATTCAGGGGATGCTGGAAGGTGGGGGCAGTGACGCTGGGGGAGGGCTGGCCCTGGACACCATGGTGGGAAGTTTAAAAGGGCTTGGAAAGTCAGAGAAGGAGGAGGAAGGCAAAGAGGAGGAGAGGAAGCAACAGCAAGGGAGGAAGAGAGACTAGTGCACAAAACGCACGGCACAAAGACCCGGGACAGGGAACGACCACGGTAAGTCCCACCCCCATCCGTGCGGGTCAGAATTAAGTATGGGGCTGGGGAAGAAGTGGCCCAGGGCAGGGTCGTGGACCCCGTGAGTGGGGGAGTTTAGGGGCCACAGCCCCCTCCACTGAGCCGCCTTAGGACTGTGGGCCGGGGTTCGGAGAGAGGGAGGGCCCAGACCCCCTTCCCCGGTGCTAGGGGTGAGGTCCCCGGGCAGTGTGGCTATATGGCCATATTGTAAACCCCAACATAGCAAAAGGAGGGAACTGAGAAAACAGAGCCGCGAACGATGGCATAGGGAAACAGTTACAACTCTGGGGAGTGGGGAGACTTGAACTCCACGGGGGAAACTTATAACAAGCCCCAACCTAAATTAATACCCCAAATTAAAAAACACAGTAAGAGAACCAAAGAAAGTGCCACCACAGCTTAACAACAAGGTAATAGAAGCAGTGACAGATAAAAAGATATCTTTTAAAAAGTGGAAGTCAAATCCTAGTGAGGAAAATAGAAAGGACCATGAATTGTCAAATTAAGTGTAAAAATATAAGAAAAGACAAAAAGGAGTTTCAAGAACAGCTAGCCAAAAACTCAAAAAGTAATAGTAAAATGTTTTTTAAGTACATCAGAAGCAGGAAGCCAACTAAACAACCAGTAGGGCCCTTGGACAATCAAAATGCTAAAGGAGAACTCAAAGGTGATAAAGTCATAGTGGAGAATCATAGAATCATAGAATAATAGGACTGGAAGGGACCTCGAGAGGTCATCGAGTCCAGCCCCCCGCCCTCAAGGCAGGACCAAGCTCCGTCTACACCATCCCTGACAGATGTCTATCTAACCTGTTCTTAAATATCTCCAGAGAGGGAGATTCCACCACCTCCCTTGGCAATTTATTCCAATATTTGACCACCCTGACAGTTAGGAATTTTTTCCTAATGTCCAATCTAAACCTCCCCTGCTGCACTTTAAGCCCATTACTCCTTGTCCTGTCCTCAGAAACCAAGAGAAACAAATTTTCTCCTTCCTCCTTGTGACACCCTTTTAGATATTTGAAAACCACTATCATGTCCCCCCTTAATCTTCGTTTTTCCAAACTAAACAAGCCCAGTTCATGAAGCCTGGCTTCATAGGTCATGCTCTCTAGACCTTTAATCATTCTTGTCGCTCTTCTCTGTACCCTTTCCAATTTCTCCACATCTTTCTTGAAATGTGGCGCCCAGAACTGGACACAGTACTCCAGCTGAGGCCTAACTAGCGCAGAGTAGAGCGGCAGAATGACTTCACGAGTTTTGCTTACAACACACCTGTTAATACAACCTAGAATCATATTTGCTTTTTTGGCAACAGCATCACACTGTTGACTCATATTCAACTTGTGGTCCACTATGACCCCTAGATCCCTTTCCGCCATGCTCCTTCCTAGACAGTCGCTTCCCATCTTGTATGTATGGAACTGATTGTTCCTTCCTAAGTGGAGCACTCTGCATTTCTCCTTATTAAACCTCATCCTGTTTACCTCTGACCATTTCTCTAACTTGCTAAGGTCATTTTGAATTATGTCCCTATCCTCCAAAGAAGTTGCAACCCCACCCAGTTTGGTATCATCTGCAAACTTAATAAGAGTACTCTCTATCCCAATATCTACATCATTGATGAAGATATTGAACAGTACGGGTCCCAAAACAGACCCTTGAGGAACTCCACTTGTTATCCCTTTCCAGCAGGATTTAGAACCGTTAACAACAACTCTCTGACTACGGTTATCCAGCCAATTATGCACCCACCTTATCGTGGCCCTATCTAAGTTATATTTGCCTAGTTTATCAATAAGAATATCATGCGAGACCGTATCAAATGCCTTACTAAAGTCTAGGTATATGACATCCACCGCTTCTCCCTTATCCACAAGGCTCGTTATCCTATCAAAGAAAGCTATCAGATTAGTTTGGCATGACTTGTTCTTCACAAACCCATGCTGGCTATTCCCTATCACTTTATTACCTTCCAAGTGTTTGCATATGATTTCCTTAATTACCTGCTCCATTATCTTCCCTGGGACAGACGTTAAACTGACCGGTCTATAATTTCCTGGGTTGTTCTTATTCCCCTTTTTATAGATGGGCACAATATTTGCCCTTTTCCAGTCTTCTGGAATCTCCCCTGAACTCAAGAGTTCTAAAATAACACAAATGTGAAATTGCGGAACTATGAACTGTGGTTTGTAACCTATCCTTTAAATCAGCTTCTGTACCTAATGACTAGAAGATAGCGAATGTGATGCTAATATTTAAAAAGGGCTTAAGAGGTGATCCTGGCTATACAGACCGGTAAGACTAACTTCAGCTGAATTAGTAAATCAAATTAGTTGAAACTATAGTGAAGAAGAGAATTGTTAGACACACAGATAACAATTTGTTGGGGAAAATTCAACATGGATTCTCTAAATGGAAATCATGCCTTACTAATCCACTAGATTTTTTTGACGGGATCAACAAGCATGTGAACAAGGGAGATCTAGTGGATATATGACAAGGAGTCCTGTGGCACCTTATAGACTAACTGAAGTGTTGGAGCATAAGCTTTCGTGGGCAAAGACCCACTTCGTCAGATGCATCTGACCCCTTTTGATACTAGTAGATATAGTGTACTTAAATTTCCAGAAAGCCTTTGAAAAGGTCCCTTACCAAAGGTTATTAAGTAAAATAAGTTGTCATGGGATAAGAGGGAAGGTCCTCTCATGGATTGATAACTGGTTAAAAGACAGGAAACAAAGGGTTGGAATTAATGGTAAGTTTTCTGAGTGGAGAGAGGTAACTAGTGATGTCCCCCAAAGGTCTCTCCTAGGACCAATCCTACTCAACTTATTTATAAATGATCTAGAGAAAGGAGTAAACAGTGAGGTGGCAAAATTTGCAGATTATACCAAACTGCTCAAGATAGTTAAGACCAAAGCAGACTGTGAAGAGCTTCAAAAAGATCTCACCAAACTAAGTGATTGGGCAACAAAATGGCAAATGAAATTTAATGTGGATAAGTGTAAAGTAATGCACATCAGGAAAAATAACCCCAACTATACGTACAGTATGATGGGGGCTAATTTGGCTACTGGAGTCATTGTGGATAGTTCTCTGAAAACGTTTACTCAGTGTGCAGCGGCAGGTAAAAAAGCAAATAGACTGTTAAGAGTCATTAAAAAAGGGATAGAGAATAAGACAGAAAATATCTTATTGCCTGTGTATAAAATAATGGTATGACTACATCTTGAATACTGTGTACAGATGTGGTCACCTCATCTCAAAAAAAATATATTGGAATTGGAAAGGTTCAGAAAAGAGTAAAAAAAATTATTAGGGGTGTGGAACGTGTCCCATATGAAGAGAGATTAATAAAACAGGGACTTTCCAGTTTAGAAAAGAGGAGATTAAAGGGGGGATACGATAGAGGTCTATAAAATCATGACTGGTATGAAAAATATGAATAAGAAAAAGTTATTTACTTATTCCCACATTAAAAGAACTCGGGGTCACCAAATGAAATTAATAGGCAGCAGGTTTAAAACAAACAAAAGGATGTTTTTCTTCATTCAGTGTACAGTCAACCTGTGGAACTCTTTGCCAGAGGATGCAGTGAAAGCTAGAACTTTAACAGAGTTCAAAAAAGAGCTAGATAGATACATGGAGGTTAGGTGCATCAATGGCTATTAGCCAGGATGGTAGGAATGGTATCCATAGCCTCTGTTTCTCTGGAGGTGGGTGACAGGGGAGGGATCTCATGATTACCTGTTGTGATCCCTCCCTCTGGGGCATTTGGTATTGGCCACAGTCAGCAGACAGGATACAAGGCTAGATGGACCTTTGGTCTGACCTAGTATGGCCGTTCTTATGTTCTCAAAAAACACCCACCTAAGTTAAGTCCCATCTGTCATTTTCAATGGAACTTGTGCTCCTAAGCACTTCTGAAAAGCCCACACTAAAGAAACAAAAAAATAAAAATTCAGGTTGAATATACATGGTTAACTTTGCCTCAAAATGTTCATATTTGGTTTCCAAGTGGTAGGCTCCTACATATTTTTGACCCTACATTTATGTTGAAATTCTAAAGATTAAAAAAATGGTTGGAATGTCAAAATTTGGAAAATGCTAACCAATTTTGCTTCAGAGATGGTTTTCTCCCCTTTTCTTTTTCCTTTCTAGTTTTTATTTCCAAGGACAGCTACAATAGAAAATCATAGTAATTGTAGCTTTATCTCGCGCTGAACTAGCTGGGCACAGCTTATCCTGAAAGAGATTAATAAATGAAATGGAGCAACGAGCTCTAGAAACATACCTCTACTTGAACCATGAGGCAGCGCTGCCGTCGGAGCTTTACAACATAGCCATAAACATCCACTCTGCCTTCTGTCTCTAGCCCCTCCAGCATAGCATCAATTCCAATGTAGGTTCCAGTACGGCCAACACCAGCACTGATAAGTACAAAGCAATATTTATTGAAAGGGTCGGGAGTGATCAGTAGTGTTCTGCTTGGGGATGCAAACAATATGGCTTATTATACATTAATCCACAATTCAGAAGTCTGGTAAACTTTTGTTTTACATAAATGAGGACCAGGGGAGCTGACAGCTAGGGGGAACCGCTGTGCATTCCTGAAAGGGGTGGGGCTTCAGGTGGAAGGGCTGGTGCCTCAGGAAGAAGGGACAGGGACAGGGCATCTGGCCCTGGGTGCTGCTTGGACCACTCCCACACCCTCAGCACCATCCAGAAACGGCTATCCGGGGCCCTACAGGGTGCCACACGGGCTTTGGTGACGATATAAGGGATTAAGGCTCCAGCTGCAGCAGTAGCAGTGGCGGCACGTGAAGCCCCAGGCCACCTTGAAGTGCTGGGCCCCAGAACAGTTGCCCTTTTGCCTCTCCCTGTTAGCAGGCCCGATGAGGACAATATTTTCAAACTAAAGTGGTTGCTATTCAAAATTGCAGGCATCCTCCGGTCCCGTTGATCTGGATGGGAGTTGCAGGTTTTTATTACCCTTGAAAATCAGGCCTCTTTTTTAGTTATAAATATGGAATGAGTTGTCTTACTTGAAAGCGACCAGCTTGCCTAAGCAACTATTGCTAGTCTTCTCTGACTTGCCTTTCTGCATAGCTCTGGCTGGCATCTGTTTACTAGCAGTGAGTTTTGGCAATATTCACCTGCAATGAATCACTATTGGGCCACTAAAAAAGTTGCTTAAAGCATTAACTCTGCGGCGTAGTCTGAGGAGAAGATGTGGATCATCAGGCACTCCATGGTCCGGCCAGCTAGTGAACTGAATGTGAGTCACGTCTCTCCCAGGTGTCTTCTCCTTTCTCTGGAGGAGGTGGAATTGTTTCATTAGCACCATGCAAAAATCCAGCATCAATATGCAATAGTGAGGCCAGATTCTACAGTCAAATGAGCTTTACAAGGTTTCAGAAGTTGGAATATTTTTCCTATCCTATTTTTATAACAAAAGAGTGATCAAAAATAAAAGCTGTACATGTGGAACAAGCCATCCTTTGAAGGAAGAATATAATGACAATCTAGAAAGGACATGTCCAATATTTCCATCCTAAGAATGCTCTACTTTATGTCTATGTAGTACGTAGCATGTATTCTCCTCTGCACTTGTAACTAATCAGGAAGTCAGCGTATAGGCCCATGTTCTGCCAGTCGTATTTGTTGGTTATTTTGCCTTTTTACTGTTAACTACATGCTAAGTCACACAGACCCTCCGAGGAATGAAGGAAGTTTACAAACAGCAAATCAAAATAGAAGAGATGGGGAGATCAATCACTGAGGTAGCTCATGATTTTCTAAGTCACTGTATTCAAGTCTTAGAGCACACCAGTCACAGACCCAACTTCAGCAGGGCCAGGTGGTGAATGGAGAGCCCCTATCCCAGCCAGGGAACCTCTAGCAGCAGCGGGGCCAGGCAGTGGCTGGGCAGTCCTGGGCTGGGAACCTCCAGTGGAAGCAGGACTGGCCCCAGCACTGGAGTCGGGGGAAATGGCCCCAGACTGGGAACCCTGGAGAATTCCTGGCAGGAGCTTGGCCAGGTGGCTGGAGAGCCCCAGTGGTAGAGGGGCTGAGGTGGCGGAGCAAAGGAACCTCTGGTGGGAGCAGGGCCAGGTAGGGGAGCATTGGCCGTGGAGCCCTGGGGAACATTCAGCAGCAGTGGTGGCCGCAGAGACCGAGCTAGGCTGGCGGCAGCCAGATGGCCCTGGCAGGGGTGCCCTGGGAAACTCCTGGAGACAGAGGGGCCATCAGAACCCCGGGGAACTCTGGCTGCAGCGTGGGCAGCAGGGTGGGAGCCTCAGCCTTGGGAGCACCAGGGAGAGGAGGCAAGGAGTGAGGCGCCAGTAGGGACACATTGACCTCCTCTGGTCCAACAAACTCCCTGGTTCGGGACCCCTTAGGTCACGAGGGTGCCAGATCAGGGAGGTCCAACCTGTGCTTGTAAAAAATCAATACACATTACTTCTGGCCAGCAACACATTAGCTACTGTAATTTGGAGTCTCTCCTATGTATGATGCCACACCGTTCTATTAACACTTCAATTTTAAGGGACTGGTATGCAGTGTTGATAATTTTTTCCCATTCATATGCAGTATAAATGTTGTTACATGCACCAAGGCAAGTGCAGATGTGCATCACCATTAGAAACACATGCTACCAGCTGTGTGTACTCTGCTAATGAGCTGGGTGGCATCTGAATCTTTCCTGGGTGGCTTGCCCAAGCACTCAACTTATGGGGATACACTGCTGATATGGCCACCTTACTCACAGTAATATTTAATGTGGTGGCCTCACTGTCAAACATATCTTATTCTATGTTCATAAGCCAGTAACAAACTTTCTTAATTTAAAAAGGACAAATTTCTGACAGAAACACGATATATTGCATACAAATTTATCCATCTGCATCAGCACCCTTATGGAAGAGAACTGTACTGGTGGTGTTCCTGTTGAGAATACAGTAACAAAAGGTAGCATAGCAGTGAGATAAGTTTCCAATTCACATTTGCCCTAAGAAATTACTTACTATCTACTCAGTGTTATCTCAAGTTATATGTTGCTTGGGAGAAACAAGGGAAAAGGCTAACTGCCACTGTTGCTCTGGCAGAATCTCTGATAAGAGTTTCTTTATACCAGTTATATAGACCACTTCAAATTATTTTCACATTAATAAGCCAACTCACATTTGTAATATGCAATTTCTGAATAATGTAGTCAGGACACATTTTACTTTCATTGCTCTTCACGACAATGTCCCCAAAAGTCTCAGTGCTATTCTCTGTTGTCGGCCAGTACTGGGCACATTTGTTCTATGAAAATGCAAAGTTAACTGATTAGCAGCATGACATCAAAGTGACAGTGAAACAAGGTTTTGAAGAAAGTTTGAAATAAAATAAAATCAATATTTCCAATGAAATAACCAATAATTCAGTACAATTTCAGTTTTCAATAGATGCTATAGTTATCCCTTAAAACAATTAATACAGTGTCAGTTAAACATTCAAACAAGGAGGTGAACACTGCTCGTCACAGCTTCCCAACTTGGTTTCGAAAGGAGGGCACCAGAGAAATGGTCCAAGCTGTGAGTGGAGGCATTGCCGTGACATTATTATAGGCTGCTTTGGGTGGGAAGGGGGGAGGAAAATCACAAATACAGATCATCCCCTATTACACTTGGAAGGGAGTTGTGATAGTTCTGATAAGTCTGCAAGGATGTGGGACAGGGAGAGAGATTTTGGCACAGCTCAGCAAATTCTAACTCAGGAAGTTTTTGGCACGTTATACCCTGTTATGGGTTTATTTGCAAGAAGGTGGAATGTAGATCTCTATTCCTTACAGCTGTGTGTCAGGTAATAATATTACAGAGCAGGGATGGGGAACCTTTTGTCTGGGGGGCTGGATGTGGGGAGGCTGGGCTGGTGCTCCAATTCCCCTCCTGCTCCCCTCCCTCCCCCCCTCCCCCCCGCTGTCACCCTGTGGGACTGGAGCACACAAATCTACTAACCTGGGCACAAGCCTCTTCCCTCTCCTGAAGCAAACAGTCACATGGAGGGAACAAGCCTTTAGTTCGAAGTTATCTGGGGCTGCAGCAGGCAGGGAGCCCAGCCTGCCTTGGGGGTGCTGTAGGGCTGCTGGCTTAGGTTAGCACTTCTAAATCAGGCCCTGCCTCTGGCAACCCTGCCCCTCCCACACTCCAACTCCCTCCCCCAGGCCACCAGCCAAATCTTCTGCACCAGGTCACAACTCCCTCCCACACCCTGTACTCCCTCCTACATTCCTCCCCCAGGCCAGAATGCTCTACTGCACCCAAACACCCTCCCAGACCTTGCACCCCAATACTATGATCCAGGTCACAACCCCCTCCTTCAGCCAAACTCCCTGGCTGCGACTACACTGGCACAATTTAGCAGAAATACTTTTAACTGAAAAGTTTTCCGTTAAAATATTTGCACATAGAAAGCATCTATACTGGCATGTGCCTTTGCACGCTCTACTGCACCCAAACATCCTCCCAGACCCTGCATCCCAATACTATGATCCAGGTCACAACCCCCTCCTTCAGCCAAACTCCCTGGCTGCGTCTACACTGGCACAATTTAGCGGAAATACTTTTAACTGAAAAGTTTTCCGTTAAAATATTTGCACATAGAAAGCATCTATACTGGCATGGGCCTTTGCACAACAGATCTACTTTTGCGCAAAAGCATCCATGCCAGTGTAGATGCTCTCTTGCGCTAGAAAGCTCCGATGGCCATTTTAGCCATCGGGCTTTCTTGTGCAAGAAATTAACGTTGCTGTCTACACTGGCCTCTTGCGCAAGAATACTTGCGCAAGAGGGCTTATCCATGAGCGGGAGCGTCAGAGTATTTGCACAAGAAGCCCTGATTTCATACAGTAGAACGTCAGTGTTCTTGCACAAATACTCACGGCCAGTGTAGACAGGCAGCAGCTTTTGCGCAAAATCTTGCCAATGTAGACATAGCTCCTAAGACTTCACACCATCTCCTGCACTCCAGTTCCTTATCCCGTGCACCTTTCTGCATCCAGTCTCCATCCCAGACCACGCACCCCTTCCCCAGAAAAGTGCTGCCCTTGACCACTTTACAAAATTTTGGCATGGCCCCCCACCAAAAATTATGGCCCAACCCTGCCCTAGTCTCTGGGAGTGGCTTTCTCCTTCTTAGATAGGGGCCACATCCACATCACTGAGGTTTGGTAGGGTTGTGCGTGTGTATGAGGAGATTTTGTTTGTTTTTGTTTTGTTTTGCTTCTCATTTTGATGAGGGCCCCCAACTGATTTCCTGTAGGTCAGCAGCCCCTGACCCAAAAAACGGTTCACTCCGTTATGCTGCTCTTCAAATAGTCTAAAGGCAAAACCATGCTGGCTTGTCAATGTTATTCAATTTCTAAGATTCTATCACAAATACAGATTAAACAAGAATGAACAAGGGTTCAAAATAAATATTTAAATCCCGAGAAAAATTATTTAAATGAGTAAGAAAAGCATATTTTGCCACAACAGATCAACCTTCTGTATATAGCAGCTAACGGGAGTGTGTGAGAGAAAGAGATGCTCACCCTATTATTTTCTTCACAGCGAGTCACCATAACAATAATTGTTGCCTTCTGTTCCCAGATCATTCTCCAGAAATCATCAGTGGTCTCATCCTTGGGGCCTAGCAGATAAGGTACTCAATAAGAGATACTTTGAAAGAATTATGAACCATAAAGAGTCTAGAACAAAGTGACCATACATATTATGGCTCAGAAGCTATCCAAAGATCATAACATGGATACAGCCATGGACTGTACAATTTCATGATGATTCCATCATCTTCATTCACATAATTCTAAAACTATGTAGGTGGTGACTGAGAAGGGAAAAAAATCTCCATAGTAAAAATAAAGTAAATACTTGTAGCCAATATGTATGAAGCATGATTTGAAAAAATTCCCTTCTGCATTCCACAAATTTCCTTCTGTAGCTGGTCATAACTCCCAAAACACAGGCTGTCTAGCAATCCTTTATTAAATTCCACATATGCTGGTCATCCACATTTTGTTTAAATATATTAATACAGTTTGGCTCTATCACTTTGATTAAAGGATAATTGGGGAAGAATTAATAAAATAAAAAAAATAAAACATTTACCTTGTGCAGCAATATACTTTCCTGGTTCTTTAAAACCCTGTTTTAAAAATATATATTATTACTAGGTATTTAAAGATAGTAGGCGAAAACTGTGAAAAGAATTGCTACTTTATATATATATTTAACATGAATGATAATATGGACACCAATGTAATAGTACCAAATAGTACCAAGTATAACAAAAAAACTCAAGGAGTGGAAACAGTCAACAGGGCCAGCCCACAACATTTGGCACCTGAGGCAGGGAGCTCAAATGACACCCCCATGACACCTGGCTTGGGCCAAATCTTTGAAAGGTCTCAATTCTGCCTTCTTCCTGTTCCACACTACCACCATCTCAGTGCATCTAGAGCAGAGAGAATACATATGCACCAGCAGTAGACACAATTTTCTACACTCTGGGTCCTAGTGAGGCCCTCCCCCCCACAGTCTGGCACCTGAGGCGGCCGCCTCAGTTCACCTCATGGTAAAGCCCACCCTGAGTCAATGCTAGAAGAGTCAAGCATTTGATGCCTGTAATGGGACATATATAAATCATTTTTCATTTGTGCATCACAATAATTCATCAAGAGAAGTCACTTACATCAATATGGCTTGCATTTATATAGTCTGATCCTGGGTCTCCATTTATTTCTGAGAGTACCACTCGGTTATCATCATCTGTTTAGATAATTTAAAACAAAGTATGTAATAATTAACTCAGTTGCCTCAATATTCTGATGTAAGCAAAAACAATGAAATATTTTCAACCATGCATGGAATTTCTATTCAGTACTTACAAGGGAGAATATCAATGTAACGGTTTTTGTTTTGGTTGTAGTTTTTACGTGCTTCCTTTATTGGGTACTTCGAGAAAACCCTGGGAATGCTCTGTAAATATAATCCTTATTTTATTCATTTTAACATATTTTAGATAATTTTAACTCACAATAAAATTCACATAGTTGTAATTAGTTCTTAAGGACAGTTGGAAGATAACATTCTTTTTCCATTGCATTATGATTCATAGTGATTAGCTTTTTAAAACAAATATTAAGTTATATGAAGATTAATATATTGCTATATAACCAAAATATGACTCTCCCTTAAAAGACGAATAAAGAAGCTCAGTTTTGGATTCTAGTCTGAACAGAATTTTTTAAAACTGCTTTAAAATGTAGCATAAAGGGGCACTGGTCCACGAATGGAGCTCCTCTAACCAAGCATCATCATCATCATCATCATAACCATACTTTTAAATTCAACTCATAAAAGTAAGATATTTTAAAAGAGTGTTCCTAAATCCCACAGCAGTTTTCATCACTTATCTCATCTTAAATCTTCCTAAATTATAGCAAGATTATAATATCTCAGATTTGAGATTATTCACCAGTTTGTTGGCTATTCTGAGATTCGGGTAAGGGTTCTTACTTTTAGATGTTTTGTAAAACAACATCAAAGGGGTTGGTGATTGACTGTAACAGATTTATTTTAATGGCATGTTCCATAATATCTAGTTTAGAATCTCTGTTATATTTCTGACTAGGCACAAACCTGAAATTCATCCAGAAAAAGTCTTCCTTCATCAGCAATCTTTCTCTTGTAGGCTTCCAACAACATTTCTGCAGGGATTGGCTCCACATTCATCAGTTGCTTGTCATCATCTTTAAATACAGAGACATATTTTATATTTATTTTTTATGATTATATTTATTTGTATCGTCTTGAAGAGTAAGATTAGTTAATGAGAACAGAAACATTCACTCAAACTAAGACATATATATTTATTACACCAAGGCTTATCCCCTCAAATGCATCTAAACAGAGCCCCCAAAGTCATAGAACTTATCCAGCTAGGGAAACAGGTCAAAAAAAACTTGACATACAGAGACTGAGTCTGTATCTGGGTACTGAACTTTAGGAAAGGTGTGGACAAATTGGAGAGAGTCCAGAACAGAACAACAAAAATAATAAAAGATCTAGCCAATCGGACTTATGAGGAAAGGTTAAAAAACTGGCCAGGTTTACTCTTGAGAAAAGAAAATGGAAGACCAGATAACAGTCTTCAAATATATGGAGGGCTGCTAAAAAGATTGTTCTCCATGAAGGCAGGACAAGAAGTAGTAGGTTTAATTGGCAGCAAAGGATTTTGAGGCCAGATATTAGGAAAAAAGTTCTAACTCTAAGGCTACAACTGCACTATGAGTTTTCTTGGCAAAAATATCCAAATCAAGAACTCATTTGCATGAGTCATGATCTTATTTGCATATTTTCTGCCAATCCATTTTTGCGATGGGTTTTTTGCGCAAAAACAAGCAGCGCAGACATTTTCTTTTTACACAAAACCCCCTTTTTTGCAAGATTGGTATACCTCCTTTTGGGGGGGCATAAGGATTTTATGGAAAAAGGGGTTTCTACACAAAAAGAAAATGTCCACACTGCTTCTTTTTGCGCAAAAACGGATCGCAGAAAATATGCAAATGATATTGACTTATTTGCATATTTTTTGCCAAGAAAACTCATAGTGTAGACATAGCCTAAGGTTAGTTAAGCCCCACAGATGGCTTCCAAGGAATAAAAGCAGGTTGGACAAACATCTGTCAAGGATGGTCTAGCTTTACTTGGGCCTGCCACACTGAAAGAGACTGAATTTGATAGTTTCTCCCAGCCCTGCATTTCTATTTCTATTAATCTAAGACTTCTGTGCCTCCTGTGTACAGAGAAGCAGCACTCTGAGCGTACAGACCGGACTTGGGAAAGTGGTGAGTATTGCCAGTAGGGCCATAGCAACATCTGATGCTGGCACAGGACACTTTAGCCCAAGCAGGTACAACTGTGATATTGTGCTGCCATTACATTTGAGTAATAAGCAATCATTTATTAGCTGTAATCTATATTAGAGGATGTCTATCTGGGTATTTGTCTATAAGTCTGTTTGTTCAGGAACTCTTCAAGAACAGTAGAACTAGGGCCACCGATCTTGTAGGCAGCTTCCTCTTTTCCTAACTTAAAGCAAGGTTAGGGTTTGGTTGTGCCAGGGAAACCGGAAGCCCCTGGAAAAGGACTGATTTCCATAACATGCAAAGGGCAGGGCTGCTGTTGCAAGGGACAGGATATGAGAGTGGCCACTGGAGCAGCGTCCCACAGGGAAGTGCTATCCTGAAGAGTTTCTACAGGGGGCAGTGGCAGTGTACCACCAAGGGAGTAGCCAGCAGGGTTGGGGCATTTGCCGTCTTGCCTGTGAGCACACTGAGTAAGTAGCCTCCCTGCCACAAACCCTTTCTCTCCCTTCCGGTCCTTGGCCACAAGCTGGGAGTGGGGGAAGGTCCATGACTGCTGGGGGGACTTTTGGGGGGGAGAGAAGGGTCTCTGGTGACTGAGGAGTCTTGGAGGAGGGGGTAGAACTGGCTCTTAGTGGGCTGTGGGGATGAAGGGGAGAGAGAATAGGTCCCTGGCAGGTTGGGGGGACCCCCTGCCCTCAGCCCCTTCTTACTGGCACATCTCCACACATCACAAGCTTCCTGCAGACACACCCTGCCCCCTGCATCCTCAAGGCCCTGCCCTGAAGAACCTGGGCAATGCTGGATACGTCTGCTAGTAAAATATTGTACTGTGTTAGGCCCAGTAACAGTAACCATTACGCTAATGTCAATGTGAAGCACTGAAAATCATTCTACGTTTTCCCTGAGCTATCATCATCTTTAATTAGTGTTAAACTCTTGAGCATTTTGATTCAAATTTAAATCCAATGTTTTTGCTATTCTGCACAGAAACAGGACAAACGGACATAACTGTGAATGTGCTATCTTTCAGTGAGTATAATTAATGTTATAACCAGAAGAAAGTTTATATCATGTCAATATGTCCATAGAAAAGTGGATTTGGGGTTCTTTTAAATCAATAAGCCTCACAGAAAACCGCAGGATGTGTTCAATGGGAACTTTCACGTAATTTCTTCATATTATTGATTCTCTAAGCCCTCGTCTACATTAGGACTTTATTTTGAAGGCCTACTTGGGGTGAGTTCACTTCAGAGATTAATCTAACGAGGTGTTTTAAAGCCTCTGTATTCAGTCTGTTATGGTCATTATTTGAGATACTGAAATAGTTTTAATGTTAAGATCATAAATAATGATTTTTCAAATTTTCCCAACATTTAATAAAATTACAGTGATTCACTTCAATAATAATAATCACTGACCTCTACTTTTGGCCTGGGCAAGGTTTGACTGTGTTAATATCTAATTCCACTGTACATACATTATTTAGACTTCAGTCATCTAAAATATAGATGCCTATGAGCTGGAATAAGACACTTGGCTAATAACTTATTTTCACTTACCAAACATATCTTATATGGAAAATGTACTTACCCCTCCTAACAAGCATGATATCTTCATCTGCATTGCTGTAAAAAGCATAAGTGTATGCTAAGGCAATGTATGTATGGCAATGAATTAAAGGACACAAATAATATACACAGGTAGAGTCTTATAGGACTTTGGGGACTGGGAAGGAGTGCCAAGGGATCTTCAAACTGGATTAAATTCCCATTATGAAATTATGTTGTTCAACGGAAGCAGCCAAAGATTCCTGTGTCTTATGGAAGTCCCCTACCACCCTCAGGATCAGAGGAGGTAGAAGAGTACATCATAATTACACTTCCCTCCCCATCTTTAGTCAAGCTGAGCAAGAGGCTACACCTAGACTAGTGTTTCTCAACCGTTTTTTATAAAGTACCCCTTTTATTTAAAAAATTATAAGTACCCCCCAGTACCTACAGTTTTCTGACACAATTTTTTGTCTAGCATTGCAACACATTTATTTAAATAACTTAATCATAGCGGGTGATGAAATTTTTTGGTGTAAAAAGTAAAAAAATAACAAAGTGCTGTAAAACTTAAAACAAAAATTCAGTTTTCTCCAAATTTCAGTTGTGTTGACGTACCCCACAGACTTCTCTCAAGTACCCCTGAGGGTACTCATATCATGGTTGAGAAACACTGGTCTAGACCATGGGGATTTTCCGGAATACCTCCAGTATAAAACCCTGGGCTGTGTCTACATTGGCATCCATTTCCGGAAAAGGGATGCTAATGAGACACTTCGGAATTGCAAATCTGTGGGGGATTTAAATATCCCCTGCGGCATTTGCATTTACTTGGCTGCCGCTTTTTTCCGGCTTGGGGTTTTTGCTGGAGAAAAGCGCCAGTGTAGATGCGATTTTCCGGAAAATAAGCCCTTTTCCGGAATATCCCTTATTCCTACTTTCAAGGAAAGGAATGCCAATGTAGACACAGCCCTGGTGTAAAACCCCAGAAAAACTCTACCGCACCCAGGTATACAACCCCAGTAAAACTCCATCGCATTCAGGGATCGCGTTTGCTCTTCCTCTTTTTTTTGTGCTCTTTTGGGGAGCCCTGAATACCTCATTCTATGAGGAATAAGGGCTCTTTCAAAGAGGAGGCTTTTCCACCATTTGTCCCCTACTAGACTGGGCCAAATAGTGGAAAAGCCTCTTTCGGAAAAGCAATTTGGAAAAGCCTCTTTTGGAAAAGAAATAAAAAAACCTCCTTTTCCGATAAAGGAGTGTCAGCAAGACCTAGCCTGAGCTTGGCACAGCTGAGAACCGAGACCTTGATTTTAAAATGCTACTGTCATTTCATAACTGCAGCTCTGGCCAGGGCCCTCTGATTTTCCAGTAAATATCTGGGGTCAAACTTCTACCTGAGACCCCAGATCCTTAACATCGTTCTAAAGTCTTCTTTCTTAGCATAGTCCTACAAGATGTCTTTACAGCACCTTCATCACTGTGCAGATTAAAAAAAAGACAGCTATAACCTAATGCTCAGATATGAACAAAATATAAATGCTGGATATTTATTTCTCATGGTTTGGCAAGAATTCTGCGTATAGAAAACCTTTATAGATTCATTGATCTAAAGGCTAGAAGGATTCTTTAGATCATCTAGTCCAGGGGTGGACAAAATACAGCCAGTGGGTCAGATCCAGCCTGCCAAACCACTGGATCTGGACTGTGGGCCACCTCACCGGGGCCCTCAGGCACAGAGCAGCCAGTCATATCAGAGCAGCCCCATACTGCTTTAATCATCTGGCTGCTCCCTGTGGCTCTCTGCTCCGGGTACCATGCGAAAGACGAGGCTTCATGCACTGCCTCTGCCCCCCAGCAAACTCTCACCTTCTATTGGCCGAGCACCCACAGAATGAGCCACATTTTGAGCAGCCTGGGACTGCGGCAGGCAGGGAGTCTGCCTCAAGGTCCTGCAAGGCTACTGTAGGAGAACCATCAGGTTAAGCTCCTCCTGGCCACAGCCTGCTTCTGGCACCCCAGCTCCTTTCTCCCACCAACTCCCTGACACAGGCCACCACCCAAACTTTTGCATTCTGCTCCCCAAGATCACTACTCCCGGGTATGTCTACACTACAGCGCTAATTCGAACTAACTTAGTTTGAATTAGTTAATTCGAACTAAGCTAATTCGAACTAACGCGTCTAGAACTAAAAACTAGTTTGAATTAGCATTTTGCTAATTTGAACTAGCAAGTCCACATTGAGTGGACCCTGAACAGGGCTTAAGGATGGCCGGAAGCAGTGCCGGCAGGGCATCAGAGGAGGACTTAGAGCGTGGAGATGCTGTCTCAGGCTAGCTGAGGGCTGCGCTTAAAGGGTCCCGACCCCCACCCCGGACAGACAGTTCTAAGGGGTGCCCCGCTTGAAAACCAGCCCTGGCTTGGATTGCCCGGAGTACCCACACTGGGCACATCACACCACTCGGCCATCAGCC